CCCCAAAACCCCAAAACCCCAAAACCCCAAAACCCCAAAACCCCAAAACCCCGTGAAGATATTTAAGATAATAGTATTATAAAAGTACATAAAATGAATAAATTTTTCCAAAAATTTCCCTTGAGCATCAAGCAAATGCTAGATTTCTTGCTGAAGAACCCTGGCAGAGACCAGGAATTCACAAGACTTGAAAGCCAGTTACCTGAAAGTAAGGTTTATAGCTAAAATTTAGCTGAAATGAACCATTTGATCAAGTTCACCGCCGATAATGTCATGGAGGTAAGCATTAGGACTGATGAACCTCTCAAAGTTAGAGCTAAAGACTTGTGAATCTTGATATCTCTGTTTAGCATAGCCTTAAGCTTTTACTATTGGTAATACATAATCCATGAAAATGCCCAGTTTAAACTGAACTAACTTTAAATTAGTTAGAGACTTCACTAACATTCTTAGCCTGCTGATATATACTTTAATTGTCACAATCTTTGTTTCCAGTTCGATTATCTTATCTAAGAGATCATCCTGGAGATTCTCCAAAGTTAGCACATCAATGTTAGCTTTTTTATAAATTTCTGTTAAATTTTAGGAGAGTGGACTGATTATGCAAATAATGGTGGGCTTAGTAAAAACCATGCCATTTTGTTCTCAGAGTTTTTGAGACCTCTGATCTATTATAAGGTATCAAAAAGTTTCTCTTATATAAAGAATTAGACAGTTATTAAAAGTACACTTGAATTTATAATTAGGGAACTAATCCCTGCTTTCAAGTGTATGGAGGTGTCTTTTATAATAGGATGATTACTGACGAGTTTAGCATTATACTTAAAAGAGAGGTCCCAACTAACAAAGTTTTACCAAACTCAGTGTAAATTTTCATTACCGTAAATTCGCATTCAAATTTTTATTTTTCTATAGTCAGTAAAGATGCTAACATTTGTGTTCATATGCTTGACCATCCTTAATGTAAGTCTGGAAGCTAATAAAATAGGGAATCAGTCCAGAAATATGAAGCAGAGATGTAAAAGTACTTGCAATCTCATGCTGAGTTGCGATCGTGTTTATAATATCCGGCTATTTCATCTCAAAATTTCCTGAATACCTCCAAGGAGCGATATTTGGATTCAATGCATTTGGATACGTAGCGATGCATTTGATCTACCAAACCAACCATTTTGGCCACCTCAGATCAGCCATGCCATGCTTATATTTGTTCCATTACTTCCTAGCCACCTTGACTCCTTCCAAAAGACAGCTAACCAGTCTCATTTTCACTGTCACAGTGATTATGAACTTTTCCCTCTCAATGTACAGACTAGGAAAAATAGATAATGATATTACGATTTCAGGACTAATGTCTATCCTGTTCTTCGACCTTGGTCTCAAGAGCAACCAAAGTAAACTCTCTGAGATCTACTTGATGATTCTGAAGAACGATAAGTTGGCCAAGGAGAAGCAAAAAGTGGTACAGCAGTTTCCTCACCCAGTTTTGATACTTCCTCAGAAAATCTCTAAGTTTTCCAAGTGATACCCTAATGACCAGTTCGAGAAGAAGATTAAGGCTCTGAACCAGAGGATTGAGAAGCTAGATCAGGTCAAAGTTACAGTAACCAAGAAGGCTGCAAGAGACAAGGATGTTCGGAAGAAGCTTACCTTGTTAGAGTATATACAGTGTTTCCAGAAGAACAAGAAGAGAGGAAATGATGAAGCTAAAAGAGATGCTGTAATCCAATGAGACCAAACTCTTGCCAGGTAAGGGGTTGTTAGCATAAAAGGATGAATAATGTCTTGTTTAAAGAGTTTATGACTGAGAGGTAACTTATTATAGAAATTCTTCAAGAAATCGTCAAGCTGCAAGTGAGGAGTCTGATAGCGAAGGTATGCTCAAAAGAAACTTCAGTATTAAGTCTCTCAACATCGAGTGGAAAGGATTTCCTTCGGTGATGCATGTCTTTATTGACACCACTGATATCATAAAACTAGAACAGGCTAAGAACAGAATTAAGATGCAAGATATCATGTTTGCAAGTGCGAGTCATGAGTTCAGGACTCCACTAAATGCGATTATCCACTCATATAATTTTATCAAAGAAAGTTTTCAAGAGTTGGTCAAAATACTAGATAGCAATATGAATGAGAATCTTGCACAAAATAGTGATATCCAGTTTCATAAGGAAAACATATCGAAGTTCTTGAGAACTGGGTCTACCTCGTCTGTGCTATTGCTATCGCTCGTCCAAGACATTCTCAATCTCACAAGGATTGAGAATGGAAACATTACAACGAAATTTGATTATTTCAGAGTACCTGAACTTCTTAGTGATGTCCATTCTCTTTTCTCCGTACAATGCGAGAACAAGAGAGTAGACTTAATAATTGAGTGAGAGGATGCACTCAAACTCTGCGAAGTCAGTACAGATTCAAATAGAATCAAGCAAATCCTTGTGAACCTTGTATCGAACTCGGTGAAGTTTACTTTCAGAGGCTCTATCATTATGAAAGCTGCTCTCAAAAAGACTCTGGAAGGTGATGACATTGTTGAGTTCAGAGTCTGTGATACTGGCACTGGTATTAAAGAAGAAGACCAAGAGTGCCTCTTTAAGCTCTTTGGAGTCATCGGAGAAAATGAAGATCTCAACCCCAATGGGTGTGGATTGGGACTCACCATCAGCAAGAAATATGTCGAGTCTCTTGGTGGAAAAATCAGAGTAGAATCAGTGTACGGTGAAGGAACAGAGATGATATTCACTATCAGACTCATAGATATCAAGCAAATCCAGTGAAACAGAAGAGTCCCAGCTTCTCCTAACCACCTTCCTGTTCAAGAGCATGATTGGGAAATGAGAGATATTGATTTTCAAGTAAATGAAGAGCATTCGTCTATGACATCTAGAATTAACGACTGAAAGTTCTTTGGTGGTAACGAGTCTAAGTTTTAGTTAAATTGGCCACCACATTCAATTGCCTTATTTATATACGGGGTTTTGGGGTTTTGGGGTTTTGGGG